AAAGTCACTAGATAGTTGTTTTTAGTTCTTATAAATAGGGGTGCAGTTTTTGTTTTTTAAAAACACAGAAAAACTTAATACTCAATACATTGAGTTGTTCACAATCTTCTTCTTTTATCCTAAAAGTGTTAGTTTGTGCCGGAAGTATTTTTGCTTACCTGAGCAGTGAACGGACAGGGACTAACAAAAGAAAGATATGGTGTGCAGATTGAAGAAGAGCTTGTACGGCCTGAAACAAGCTCCAAGACAATGGTATATGAAGTTTGAGAGCTTCATGCACAAGGAAGGTTTCCAGAAGTGCAATGCTGATCACTGTTGTTTCTTCAAGAAATATGAGTCCAGCTATATCATATTGCTACTTTATGTTGATGACATGCTAGTAGCGGGATCAAATATGAAAGACATCAGAAATTTGAAGATGCAGCTGTCAAAAGAATTTGACATGAAGGACTTAGGCCCAGCAAAGAAGATTCTTGTAATGCAAATCACGAGAGATAAGCAAAAGGGAGTTTTGAAGTTATCTCAGGCAGAGTACATCAACCGTGTTTTTCAGAGATTTAACATGGACAAGGCTAAGCCAGTCAGTACACCTTTGGCTAGTCATTTTTGTCTATTCAAGGATCAGTCTCCTCAAACAAAAGAAGAAGAAAAGTTCATGGCTAAGATTCCTTATGCTTCATCCATTGGAAGTTTGATGTACGCGATGGTCTGTACGAGGCTAGACATTGGCCATGCAATGGGAGTTGTGAGCAGGTTTATGTCAAAACCAGGAAAAGCTCACTGGGAAGCAGTCAAATGGATTTTGAGATATCTACGAGGCACAACAGAAAAATGTCTGTATTTTAGAAAATGAGATCTAAAGTTACAGGACTACGTAGATGCAGACTTTGGAGGTGAAGTTGATCACCGAAGAAGCACCACCGGTTATGTTTTCACTGTCGGGGCTACAACTGTTAGTTGGATGTCGCGGATATAAAAGATTGTTGCTTTATCCACTACAGAGACTGAATATGTAGCAGTGACAGAAGCCAGTAAAGAATTAATATGGCTTCAAGGATTGTTAGCAGAGTTGGGTTTTACTCAAAAAGAGAGTGTCTTGCACAGTGACAGTCAAGGTGCAATACATCTGGCAAAGAACTCAGTGTTTCACTCCAGAACTAAGCACATTGACATACGATATCATTTCATCAGATCTCTTCTTGAGGATGGAGTGTTTACTTTGAACAAGATTGTAGGAAGCAATAACCCAGCAGAATGCTAACGAAGGTGGTGACCATTGACAAACTGAAGTTGTGCTCAACTTCAATTGGCCTGCTAGGATAACAGACCGGAGAAGACTACTGCAGTAGTTGAGGTGTGAGGACAGATTGAAATTAGTCCTCAAGTGGGAGATTGTTGAGTCAACAATGGGCAGCAGCCCATGCTCTTTGACAAACAACAAAAGTGAGAAAAAAATAAAAAATTGACAGCATCACAAGGAAGCAGAGAAGCAGCTCGGATTTGAAAAATACTAGCACACATTGGTGGAAAATTTGAGGCCTTCTTTCTCTATAAATAGAGATGCAAATCAAATGAACAAAACAACAACAAATGCAAAACCAAATACAAGAAAGAAAAAGAGAGCGAGAGAGCTAATAAAAATTTAGCTTTTGTGTGTATTTGAGTTGTGAGTTGTGAGTGAGTTTGCGAGTGTTTTGTAAACACGAGTTTTTTTTTTCTCCTAATAAAATATCTGCAGTAGTCCGGAGACGTAGACATTATTGGCCGAACTCAGTTATCAAATTGGTGTGTCCAACAATTTTTTTATTTTTTTTTATAGATCGGACTTCATTGCGTATTCTTCCGAACACCACCAAATTTCACGCACTCACACGGGTGAAGGAAACAGAAATGGGCCTCGCCTCAAAACTCCATTTCATGGACCTCCGGTCTAGTTTCCTCGCCGGTGGCGCAGCCCCTATCGCTTACTCCTTCCCCTCCGCCGCCCGCCTCCCTCTTTACCGCCACTTTTCCGTCGTGTCCTCGCTAAAAGCCCCAGCCGCCCATTACCGAGCCCTAATCTCCTCAAAGCTACAATCCGTCTCCCCCGATGCCTCCACCTCCGTCGCCACAGTCGAGGAGGACGAGGACATCGAATCTCTCTTTTCCGACAACAGCTCCGACCAGTGGGAGATCACCTACAAGCGCGGCCACAACAAGGGGCTCGAGCGGCGCCTCCACCATTTCGTCGGGTGTAAGGTTGGAAAACGTCAGCAAGAGCTACAAGGGCACCACCGTGTTGAAGAACATCAATTGGGAAGTTAAGAAAGGTGAAAAGGTGGGTTTGGTGGGCGTTAACGGCGCAGGGAAGACGAGTCAGTTGAGGATTATATCGGGCTTGGAAGAACCAGATTCTGGAAAAGTGATTAAGGCAAAAAGCAACATGAAAATTTCGTTCCTGAGCCAGGAGTTCGAGGTGGTATCCACAAGGACGGTAAGGGAGGAGTTTTCGAGCGCGTAATTGGAGGAAATAGAAGTTGCGGCTAGGCTCGAGAAGGTGCAGAAAGCGATCGAGAAGTCTGTGGATGATTTGGAGCTCATGGGGAGGCTCTTGGATGAGTTTGATTTGCTGCAAAGGAGGGCGCAGGCTGTGGATTTGGATGAGGTTGATGTGAAGATTAATAAATTGATGCCCGAGCTGGGTTTTGCGCCTGAGGATGTCACTTGGGAAGATCTTGCTGCAGGTATAAATATCTTCTCTACCAAATTAAAAATGGGAGATTTTTGGCATCCAATTGCATATTTTAGTGTTTGATGATGGAGTTTCTATGAAAAAAGAATGGAGAATTTGGCTTTGCATGAATTTTTTGGTGCGAAGTGATTCGAACATGCTTTTGATTTCATATTCTTGCTCATGGAAGTTTTTACATGATTTATCTGTGAATGAATTTGCAGGATCCAGATTTGTTGCTTTTAGATGAGCCGACAAATCACCTTGACCTTGACGCAATTGAGTGGCTCGAGGGTTATTTGAATAAGCAAGATGTGCCGATGGTCATCATATCACACGACAGGGCTTTCCTAGATCAGTTGTGTACGAAAATTGTAGAAACAGATATGGGTGTTTCTAGAACATATGAAGGGAATTACTCAGAATATGTCATTGCTAAAGCAGCATGGGTTGAAACCCAGTTTGCAGCATGGGAGAAAAAACAAAAAGAGATAGAACAGACTAGAGATCTTATAAGCCGGTTAAGTGCTGGAGCGAATTCTGGCCGTGCTTCTACTGCTGAGAAGGTCAGTTCAGTATTGATGTTTTTCATATGCGATCTGGAATTTGTACAACAATTTGATCAGTAGGACCATCTTGATATGTACCAAACATTTTTCTGATAGTTCCAGTGAATTTTGCTTTCCTTTTGCAATGTTGTTTTGTTTTTTTAAAACAGGACATGGTGTTTCCTTGGAGTAGTGAACTGCGTTTTCTTGGTTACCTTTTCCTGCAATCCTAACTTTTTTTCTGTTTGTTGTATGATGTATGGTATTTCTATTCTTAGCTGCAAATTGATCTAATATTTCATTCCTTTATCTTCTTTTAAGATAAATTCTCGTTGAGTTGTAGCCTCTGAAAAGAAAAGCAATTTGGACACACCTCCACACTTTTAGTGACTTCCCGATAATTCCATCCCATTTCCATTCTTCAGATCGGAAGTTCATTTATTTAAATTATCTGTTGGTCACCTCAGAAGCTGGAGAAACTTCAGGATGAGGAGCAAGTTGAGAAACCCTTCGTTCGTAAGCAAATGAAGATTAGATTTCCAGAACGTGGTAGAAGTGGGCGAACTGTGGTGTCTGTAGAAAATCTAGATTTTGGTTATGAGGATAAGGTAAATCTTTCCCATTCAATGAAAGGATGTTGTTGACCTATCAACACAACTTACTGAACTTACTGCAATGACAGCAAATACTTTAACAGTTAACACTAATGAGATATCAAATATATCTCTGCTTACTGATCTTCCAAAAAGCATTATTGAACTGCATGAAGAAAGTTAATAATAGAAATTCAATTTTTTCACTAATCTCAGGGTTTTGTACAATTTCATGTTTTTTTTTTTTAATTTTATTTTCTCATTAAAAAAAAAATGCCACCAGGTTCTGTTCAAGAATGCAAATTTGACGATTGAAAGGGGAGAAAAAATTGCCATTCTTGGTCCAAATGGATGTGGTAAAAGTACATTTCTTAAACTGATTATGGGCATGGAAACTCCAGACAGTGGTGAGATTCTGCTCGGAGAACACAATGTACTGCCGAACTACTTTGAGCAGAATCAGGTATGTTATCTTTGTTGTTGCCTTTGCATGGCACTTTTCATTTATTTTAACTTTTCCTTATATGCTTGATAGGAAACTGTTTTATTTTATTTTGTCAGGCAGAAGCACTTGATTTGGATAAAACTGTGCTTGAAACTGTTGCTGAAGTTGCCGAGAATTGGAGACTTGACGACATAAAGGGTCTTTTGGGCCGTTGCAACTTTAAGGCTGATTTGCTCGACAGGAAGGTTTCATTTCTAAGTGGCGGTGAGAAGGTATAGATGCTGCTGATGAATCTTCACAGTTTAAACATATTTTAGTTTGCGATGTTTTAACTGTTTTTAGTTATAAATTTATATATTCTTAATTGCGAAATATTGTCCTAATTTCCTTGAAGAACCGTTTGCTAAAATTTGAAGTAGGAATCCTTTCTGGAGAATGGCATTATGTCATGTTGGGTTAAAAGTTATTTGCCCCTATTTTTTTTTATAAATAAACTTAATTATTACTAAACAATTACTATAAAATTTTATATTTCTAACTTCCCCACTCATTATTTTACTTCAATAATTACATTTCCATCTTATTATTCAATCACACTTTTCAAATGGTTTTTTCTCCCCAAAACTTTTTTCAATCATTTTTCTCTGATGAGATTTTGTTTTTGTTTTTTTTTTCAACAAAGGTATATCCAATCGCAACAAAAGTATTTAACCACAATTCTATTACATTCCTTGTGCAGGCTCGGCTTGCCTTTTGCATTAAACCATCGACTCTTCTTGTTCTGGACGAGCCAACCAATCATTTGGACATATCCACGAAAGAAATGCTTGAGGCTGTGTGTCTGATATATATATTTTTTTTTCTTTTTTTTTTTTCCCTTCTTCGTAACTCCCTTACACAGTAGTGCTTGTTAACAATTCTCGTCATTTTTTTTGGTTATTTGTGTTTGTTAGGAGGCGCTAAACGAGTACCAAGGGACTGTAATCACAGTTTCTCATGACAGGTACTTCATAAAGCAAATTGTTTATCGGGTTTTGGAAGTGAAAGATGGGGTTCTTCAGGACTATTCAGGAGACTACGATGTAAGTCGTGAGTCTCTGCACTTGGACGTGGGATACTTTCACTTTCATTTTTCACAAATTTTTGTTCCAAGATATAACTTTTTCAGGAAAAAAAAAAATAAAACCACAAATTGTTTCTATTCCCAATTAAAAAAAGCAAATCATTACTGCACATATGCATGCAAATCATTTTAAAATTATCAATCATCATTTTATTATTTGTACATCAATCGTCTATCATCATGAGTTTTTCTTTTTCATCCATTTTGAGTTGTGATTCCATTTTAATTAGCTTTTATTTTCCTATTACTGTCAGTGTCAGTATTATTTGGAGAAAAATCTTGAAGCAAGAGAAAGGGAGCTCGAACGGGAGGCAGAGCTTGAAGACAAATCTCCGAAAGCCAAAGCTAAATCCAAGATGTCCAAGGTAAGTATAATTTCGATGATTTTTTCATTATTCTTTCAATTGTAAGCATTGTTACTTGTTAACTCACCTTTAGTATACTAATTGTCCTTGTAATTTATTTATCGTCAAACATTTTAACCAGGCCGAAAGGGAAGTTAGGAAGAAACAGAAAATGCAGGCGTTTCAAGCTGCGAAACAGAAATCGAAAGGATTGAAGAACGTCAAAGATGGAAGTAAAGATTATGGTACATGATCGCGTTTTTTTATAGATCTACTTTGTTATTTACTAAGCTTTGTATAGAGAAGAAAAGAAGGGTGGTGTGTCATTATTCTGTATATAACATATAGAATAGGTTGTCATGTATATTGGCCACAATTCAGATGTATTTTCTCACAAATTCCATGTATATTAATTTATAGAATTAATTTAGTTTTTTCAATTAAACCTGGAGGTGCTGAACTTTTTATTTGATTTTTGCAGTGTTTATTTCAAGGATGAATGTATAACAGTATTGAATCAAGACAAGCATATAATTTAGATAAGTTGTTAAAAAGGCTCTTTTAAATGATTACTAACTAATTTTTTTTTTTTTTTTGAAATACCACATTCAAAATAAATCACACACAAATCATTCAAAAACTTAATTATAAACAAAAAATGCAATTTAAAAATCATTGACAAAAGTAAACTACATATCAACCATGTACTGTGATTTTCTACAACATGTCTTCAAGAAAGCGACAATTAGATAGGTTTTGTTTGTTAAAAATATTATTTGGATATATATGATAAAATTGCAAATATGATAACAAAATATAATTTGAAAATCAATTATGTCGAGCTGACATGTAAATTATTAGTTCAGAAATAAAAATATAAATATTTATAATATATAATGTTACAAATTATGATTATTAATCAACGGATCATGTGTGAAATTATCCAGGTAAATTATTAACTTAGAGTTTATGTTTTGTAATGTATATTTTTATAAATTACAACGATAAACTCACAAGTTATCAGTGATGTAAATTGTCAGTTTAGCCAAAAAAAAATATATATATTTATAATGTATATTGTTATTAATCGTAAGGAATCCATCGGCGTCGAACTTTCATATAAATTAGTAAATTACAAATAAAATTCAAAATACTTTTAATATACATCTTTGTAAATTATAAAAAATAAAATGAAATAATATTGATGTAACTTAAAATTATAAAAAACTTTAACTTCAAAATAATATAAATTACATTCTTTTTTCAATCAATTGTTTGTTATTATATTTGTCAAAAAATTTTAGTTTTAGCATAACTTATTTAGGAATTAAAATATTGTAATAACGTATGAATAAACGAAGATAGATAGAGAAATATTCCGTGAGTATTATCTAATTAACAGTTATTTTTTGAATATGTTAAATTTTCATTATCCTTGATGAAAAC